AAGATTTTGACTACAATTAGCGTTCATATTAGAGGAAAAAAGAGCATTTAATAAATGTGTGGGTTTGTGTGGTGCCAAGATTCTAAAGGAATTGAAGAGGAATTATAGACGGTGAATGGGCATGAAAGCATCCCTGCCATGGAAAAACACCTGTCGCTAGGGAGGGTCAGGCCACGTGGTCCTGGGTGAACCAGGAGTCTGACCCCACTGACTCATGGTCATGCCAAAGAGAAAAGAAGCAACAGTGGGAAACAGATGAGTAGGAAATGTGAAAGGTGGGGTCCTGGTCACCCCCAAGTGGGTCTCATGGATGGTCCCCAGGGGTCATGACCACATGCACAGTCCTGTGGGTCTGAGCCTTGGACTCTTCCAGGACCAACTGTCCAGAGTGCCAGAGTTTTAGCCAAGAGTGTCCTTACTTCCTTACTTATCTGCAAAAGGGAGATAAGTCTATTACCACGGGAGTAAAAGCCTATTTGTGTGAGTTTTTCCACCACAGTCTTTGGTAGAATTAGTGGACCATGCCTTCAAAGATGGATGAAGTCTCAGGAAGAGGGACTTCACATCCCCATGCAGGCATCTAAGGGAATATCCTAAACTCAACCTGAATATCAAAATAAATTTTATCTTAAGAATATATCGGCCGGGCGCAGTGGCTCACGCCTGTAATCCTAGCTCTTTGGGAGGCCGAGGCGGGCAGATCGTTTGAGCTCAGGAGTTCGAAACCAACCTGAGCAAGAGCGAGACCCACGTCTCTACTATAAATAGAAAGAAATTAATTGGTCAACTAATATATGTAGAAAAAATTAGCCGGGCATGGTGGTACATGCCTGTAGTTCCAGCTACTCGGTAGGCTGAGGCAGGAGGGTTGCTTGAGTCCAGGAGTTTGAGGTTGCTGTGAGCTAGGCTGATGCCACGGCACTCACTCTAGCCTGGGCAACAAAGCGAGACTCTGTCTCAAAAAAAAATAAAATAAAATAAAAAAAGAAGAAGAAGAATATATCAAGTCTGCACTCAGCTAATCATTTTGTGTAAATACTTCCTTAATACATGCTGAAGGTGCAGCCTTGATACTATGTGAATTTAAAAATATCCTTAGAATTTTTTACAATAGTTTTCAGTTTTCTGGCTTTTAGAATAAATCACGAACATTTCTCCAACACTGTCACATTGTCAAACCACTTTCAGCACCAACTTTGCCCCGTGGCCATCAACTTTCTTTAGCTCCAGGGTGTTTTTTTACACGTCAGTGGCTTTTTTTTTTTTCATGTGTGTACATGGATTTTTGGAGTATCATCACTGCTTATACCTGAATCCAACATTTCTATCTTAAAACAATGGCTCTGGGGCACATCACAGCAGATAACAGACACCATGAGCAGATACAATGAACTGTGTCTGCCTCAAAGCATTTGTTCTCTATCTTCGAGGCTCATGCTCAAATCCCTCAGCTGCAATAATAAATTTCTGCATAAGTATTCAAATGACAACCATAAATCAACTCATGTGCAAACTCTTTGCCATTATTTTTTTAGTGATTGAATTAGTTCTGTCCAGTTCATCTATTCATTCATGGTGTACTTGGTGATTTCTGTTGACACAACATAGCCAATATTTGATTACCTACCAATGGATTATCTATGTCAGACACCAGAAAGCCAATTCTAAATTTCCTGATTCTCTGATCACTGGGTGTGAAATGGGAGAAAGAGAGTAATATTCGCTTTGACCTGAGTAATGCACAGACAATTGTATCAAATATTGGACAATGCATTGTCATGTAAGATAAAATATTTGTAGATCAGGGACCATTTTGGAATTATTTCTGCTGTTCTCCCTTGTTGAGCTCAGTAGAAATAATTCATTTGTAGTTGACTTAAGGAATTTCTGTAACTCAATAAATACTGAACCAGAGTATCCAGATTATCTATTTCAAAACTATAAAACCAAAAAAAAAGTACATTGCTTTCATTCCAATTCTTTTATTTTTTGGTTATTGAAAAACAATGAAAGAGATACATTGTCCCAGCCCAATTGCCTCAATGCATTGTTGAAGTGTTAGCAATAGTTTCTAAGATGGCAGTATTCCACAGTATTTTTATAAGGGACTTAGTATTAAAGATGAGCTATAATTTCTTTTAGCAGATGGGACAAGTTTTCATTTAATTTTAATATCATTTATTATCAGAAATTTGGTATCAGAAGCACCAGGAATGGAAAAATGGCTTAGAGTTTAAAAAAAACCTAATTTGGAGCCTGTACAATTCCTATTATGGTCTTTTCTAAAGATCATATTAGCTCAGCCACTAAAGGAAATTAAGCTTATTACCCATGGTAAGAGTTGATATCAGACATAATTCAGATAAACCTTAAACTGTGTTGATAAGATAAAGCTAGCCAGTCAAGAATACTTTCACATTAGAAAGGAGAAAAATGGTATAAAATTCTTCAGAAATTGCTAGAGGCAGAAAATCAGTCTACGATATTCTAGGTCAGGCAAAAAATTATATTCCACCTCTTCTTATTTAATTAGTAACCAGAGGCCTGTCATTCAAATGTACACCCTTGCTTTCTTTACTTTTTGGAAATTTAATGCTATGTAACATGAAAAAATTGGCTCAATATTAAGTAAGGAAAGGTGGATATAAAGTAATATATAAATATTAAATATAAATATAAAGTAAGTTTCACAAAGTGGAAGGAAGGTCTGTTTTCTGGAAAATTCAAACCATCCTTTTATCATATTGTTAGCTTCCCTCTATGTAAGTTTAGATAGTTTAACTTCTTATAAAAATATACCAGTGCCTTAAGGTGATGGTTTATAATTTCACTTGGATGTTATTGGTTCCAATTAGAATCAGAGGATTGATTGGATATACTTTAAAGAAAATCAATCTTATAACTCTCTATGAACTCAGGAATAGAAAATGAACAAGCCATCATTGTTCTCCACTATGGTACCAGAAGAGATGCAATGGCATATTTGGAATGTAGGTCAATCCAAGAACTTCTGTCTCCAAAATGGTGGTGTATAGGCAAGCTGGCTTCACCCTCCTCCCCTGGAAAACCAAATGTAACAGGCAGCACTGAGATCTGCAATAGCAACAACCCAGAGCTCAAGCATGAGGATGAAACAGGTCCCAGGGCCACAGAGAAGTGGAAAAACTTTAAGCCAATGGTGGGAGAATTGGACTTCTAAATCTGTGACTCTCCTCTCTCGCATTTTGCCTGGCTTCAAGCATGCAGAAAATATCCCCCCAACTCATGGTTTATACACTGGAAAATGTAAAATCGAACTTGGCAACCAGCTTCCCCACCTCCTTGGGTTCCCTGGCAGGAGAACTGTCTCTGCCATAACCCTTGGGTAGTACCATGACTGCCTGAAGGGAGAAATGCCACTGAGAACAGGCAAAGGCAAAAGGTGAAGATGGTACTGACAATGTCAAATTATATATGTCTATTTAACTTCATTAAAAATAAACTTCAAAAAAAGATAAGGAAAGAAATAAATTGTGAACTAAGAATTTTATTTCCCGCAGAACGGTCTGTAGTAAATATGAATTTGAATGTGACGATGTGTCAAGATGAACCGAAGGTATTATTTCAATCCTGGCTCTGTCCACTAAAGAGGCCTAGAAGCATTGACCAACCCAAATTCAATAGACACTCAGATTGTGGTGCTGAAATGTCGTTTCTCACTGAACAACAACAGCATCAAAAGATAAAAAAAATATACAGAAACACAAAAAATCAAAGCAGGGCTTCTTAAAGAAATGGTTAATTCCTGGTCTGTTGAAGGAAATATACAAAATGACTTTGGAACCTCTTGACGTAATAGAAAGCAAGAAGCTGTCCATGATGATAAGGGTCTTGACAACAGGACTCAGGAGACACAGACAGAATAATCTGAATTTCAATTTCACTTTATAAAAGTATTCCAACCAATAAATGAAAACGAGAGGATACGGAAATGAATTTGGTTCACAAGACACTACATGGAGGTCGGAAAATGTGTACTTTTAAATAACAACTTTTTAAAATTTAATGAAAGTATATACATTTTATTAAAGTGATTTTATTCATGTAAGAAAATAAATGATTTAGAATAATCCAGCCTCAGCCTTCCAGAATCTGACATCACTATAATTTTACATGTTCTAAAAATAATCAAATGAATAAACAAACCCCCAAAGCTTCTGCAGTGTTGGTTCTGCAATAGGAATGTCAATGTGATGCCTATAGAAATCAAAATTTCTTCAGACAAATCCATAGATATAGGAAAATCAGACACAGGTCAGTGACATCTGATGCAGATATGGTGAGGGGCCAAATGAGAACCACCTAGAATATTACCTGATTTTTATTTTTGAAGTCAGTTCCAAACTGCTTCACAAGTTTACAGATGTCACCTTAGTTTTGGCAAGAAAGCTAATGTTTTTACTGCCAAAGTTTGTTGCTTTCTTCCTACACAATGACTGTTAATAAACATCAGACTTGAACTTGGGAACTTTGAAAGGAAGTACACAATCTAGATTCAACACTGAAATTCTACATCATCTGCAAAGAAGATGCATAAATACAGTCCACTGTAAAATTCTTCCAAGGTATGTGACAGTATCTTTGTGTTATACCACTTGATGTGACTTCTGAAGATATTATGAAATGCCAAATACCTCATTCTGTGCTGAATACCTGTTGCCTGTTTTGCAATACAAAATAAACCTATTTGGAATTGTTTCATTTTATCATTGGGTATTTGCTAAAGCCAATATTAACCCTTGGTAAGTGTACAGGAAGTTACTGACATTACTTGATTCAAAAATTACATGTGAGAAATTCAGCTTGTTTTAATCCCAAACAAAGCTTTTATTGAATAAGATAACATTGCCTTTCCCCTCCATTTGAATGAGAAAATAGATTTTTTGGTTGTCCTGTTGCAATGCTGGGTTATTCTCACTGGGTAATTGGAAGCAACATGCATTTTCTCAGTCCTTAAAATCTTTATAATTTTTACAGTTATTCAAAACCTTGTTAGATGTGGAGAAACATACATTTTCAATGGTTGTCACTTTTATCTTTTCTGTCCATCAGTTTGCTGGTTTTAAATGCTCCCTCTCAGGTTCTTGCTTAATGACACCTGACAGACATATTGTTTTCAGAAATCAGTTTCAGACATCAGTTGTGGCCACCCAGGCAGCGAGCTCATTATCTGTAGCATTGGACCAATTATGGAAGTCAGAGAAGGGATGGGCAGGGGTTACCCAACCACGCAGTGGAAACCAACTCACACTTGCACTGAGCCTCAACTAGAAGGAAAGCAAACACGTTCATAGAAGACAACTAGCTATTATTACAGAAGTGAAAATATTGTGTTTACTGCTGTTAGTGCATTGCCAATTTCTATATCCCAAACTTACCCATCTTAAAAAACAAATTCATGAAGAGTGATTCTGAGCATGGCTAACAGTGCAGCAGTTCTTCCTGCTCCATCTCTGTCTGTCAATATTTTGGGGGCAAAAGTAAGAGAATCCTAATTATGTCCATGAGTTGTATTATAGTTTTTGCACTCATAGTTTACGTTGTTTGCCTTATTCAATTGTAGGCAATCTTATATATTAATCCTACCATTTAAGAAACAATTAATGGCATAGCCTCAAAGTCCCCTGTTTCCCCAGATGGGCTAAGGCAGGATCACTACGTTAAGATGCATGTCAGCCCGTAAGAAGAGCATTCATCAGAACCAGACTGCAGGTGACCTCCTGGGTAAGCCTGTAAAGTGCTCTGCATGATTCCAGATCCTAAGGCAAGACCTACCAACTGGGACCACCCAGATTCCTGATGATTCCGTGATATCATAAACAACCTTTGGAAACAAAGGTTTCCATGGCAATAGGAAATGGGTGACAAGGAAAGCTGGCCAGGTGTTTCCTTTACAGAGAGTTGGAATTAGATCCTGTTGAGGACTGATGTACTGAGTCGCATTACATTAATACTCACCCTTTCTCCAGCACACGGCATTCCATTCTTCTTCGCATAAACTTGCTGTTCTTGAATGAATGCTGACTGCCGACTGCCAATCAGAACACAGCAAGGAGATGCCTGACCCAGGAAATCCACTCTACTGAGTAAAAGCCATATTTTGATACTCATAATACCATTAAAATATATATGCATATATTCATATGTGTGTGTGTGTACACATATAAATTTAAATTGGCCAAAAAGACAAAAATGCCTTTTTAAAAGGAAAGCCAAAAAAAATAGCAAAGAAAGTTTCCAGACCCAAAGCTATATGAACTAATGAAATATGTTACAGTGATTAAATTATATTCTAAACTCCAGGTAATAAAATGTTGAAAGTTTGAAGAATTTTAATAATGAATTACATTTTTCTGTCAGTTTAGAAGTGAGCTAGATGAAGAACCGTGTCCTGATACAATTTTCTTTTCGGCAACTTTTTTTTTTTCAGCCTCCTTTTGCAACACTATTGACCTATATTCTGAAATTTGGATGGTCTCACCCGGCACTCTTATGCACACGTGCTTTTTTTTAGAATATGCCTCAATATTTTTTTCTGAATGAAATAAAATTTGAAATATAATTTAAAATTTCTGTCTGGACCTATTGGAAATACATAACATAATTTTCCTTTTAAAGTCTCTCCCCGAGCCCAACTTGTACAAAAATGATTGAGTATACCCACTGAATCACTGTGAATGTTTAATATGAGAAGAAATGGTTCTAAAATAATATCTGAACCAGTTTTAATTTTCTGAAATATATTTGATTTATTATTTTTTACAGGAGATATGAAAATAAAATATGAAATTTCTTTTCTCTCATTAATTTGTTTTGCATAAATTTCCTCATGAAAACATGAAGCGCATACTTCACCCCTGCACTCATAGTCAGAAACAGGACATGAGAACATAATTCTGGGTATTGCAAAGCCCCTGAAAGTAGTTTTTTGTGCGATGGAGTTGTGGACTTAAGGAGACAACCGCATCTCCCAGAAGGGGTATATGGGTAGGGGAGAGAGCTGGAAAGGTGGTTGGGTGTCAGATGATGACTGAGGCAGGTCCTTTGTACTTGGTCCAAGGGAGACAGACCGGTCATAAACAGAATAGATTTCAACCAGCCCTAAGCATCATTCTTTTATCTCCTTCAATGTATACAGACCTCCAGATATTCCATTTTTCTTTCTAAAAGGTGCAAAACCTACCTCTGCACTCCTTCAAAAACATCAACAGTTTTGTTTTCCTATTTATGATGTTGGTTCAAAATCTTCCCCAAATAGAAGATGCGGGCATGTCCCCCAGAGCATTGGAGATTGTATCAGTGTTCCAAAAGATATCTGGGTTTTCTGTATAATTTTTCTCCTAGATAATTTAATATTTTAAGTTTATCTACTACAATGATAAAAAGTTGAGAGCTTTTAGCCCTGTTTTGCACAAAACCCCCACAAAGATAGTTGGGAACTTTTCCATATTTAACTCTATAGATTGACATGATGAGGTATCTCTATAGGGTTTGTAATTATGTTTGCTTTTAAATGGAATGGCTGTTTGAAGACTTGATCATAAATGTTTTAAATCAAAAAAGAGTGTTTGATGTTGACATGTCCCCTTCTGGGGTTTGGCCAAGTGGGAGGGCTGAGCAGTGAGGAAGAGGATGCTGATCCTGGAAAGTAGTAGAAAGGAGGCACAAGGTTCCTGAGTTAGGTGGTGGGAGCCGATGGGATGATGGGATGAAGTAGACATTCAGTGAGTTCCCAGAATTGAGGGGTCCAGATCTCATCTGGTGTGTTCTACTTTGCAGCATCACATGACCATTTGGGGACTGTCTACTCCTTAAGCCTCACAGTCCTTCAGAGCCCTCACTTCTGCTCCACAGCCCTTGCTTTCTTCCTCCCCCATCCTTCTCTCCTTATCTGCCCCCACACCTTTGTATTCCCCAGCGTTGAAAGGAACAAATGGATTTGTAGTAGGTCAATTCAGTCTGAGGGCAATCTATGGTTATCTGATTGGGAAGGAAACCAAGCTTTCATTTCCTCCTTCAGAAGACTCCTGAGCTGCTGGGGTCACAAGATACAGTGTAAATCAGACCCGGTGCCCTCTGGAGGGTTCTACTCCCAGAAATCTTTCCATGCAGAACAGTTTCCTTCTGTCTTTTCTTGATTTGCTCTCCTACTCAACCCCTAAGGAGAGCAGCACTAAGGACCCTCATCATGCTGATGCACTTCTTGGCGAGGTTAGATCTGAAAAATCTGACTTGGGAAGACGAGAGGTGCACAGAAGATTCACCTGTGCCATTTGAGACTTGAGACCTGTGTTGAAACACCACCAAGTTGGGATATGTGGGCAGCCAAGAGACAATCACGATCCACTCTGATTAGCACACAAATCTGAGCCTCTGCCTCTCGAGGCTTTAATCATGGAGAGCAGCTCCTTCTAGAGTAGTCCAGCATGCATGTCTTTTTCTGTGTCTTTTTTCAGCTGTGACAGCACAATGTGGAATCAGCCATGCTAACTCTGTCAGGGACAGACACAGCAGTGGGGAAGGTATTCCATAATCCTCATCTACATCTGTCCTAAGGGCAGCTCCATGCAAGACTTACTGCCTGCTGGACAAGTCTACAAGACACACAGGCCAGAGGGAAGGTCATTTGAGCTTTGCTTGATAGATATTTCCTAATTTAATAGCCCCTCGTGTTTAATTTTCCTTAGTGAAATGTGAACTTTCGGACCTTGGGTAAGAAATTGAATAGGATTTCTTTAATTCCCCCCCAGGATGGGTCTCATTACTGTGGATGTGATCAGGCTTACGAGCACAGCTATGAAACATTGGATCCAAGTTCTGGGGTGACCAGATGTCCATCTGGAGCGCAGGTGTTCTTTTATGAATAAACTCTAGAGGCCAGCACAGACATCCTGGTAATTGCCCTCCAGACCCTGGCAAAGGGCATCTAATGAGATCGCTCAGTGGTTTTGTATGAGAATTGCAAATCCAGTGAGAAATGAAATGCTTAAAAAAAGAGAAAGTCCAAGGTGAGAATGATTCCAGTGGACATGGTTAACTTTGACCTCTAATGGTGGAAGGAACAAGAGAAAAAGAACAAAGAAAGAAAACTAAGTAAATCCTTAGCCAACAGAGATTTAATAAAAATAAAAAAAAATTGAGAATACTTACTTATATAAAATTAATATATTCCTGAACTTTTGAAGTTGACATCAAAGTGGCTAAAGGAAGCTCAGGAGATGTGATTTACTTAGACACACAGCACTTTCTAGACGTGAAAGGCTTTGCTAACTCCCTCGCAGAGACAAAAGGTGCAATCCACAGATTGATAGCAAGAGCAACCATTAATTTTATAAAGGTCTGTAAGGGGGAAGCAATACCTAACTAAATGGCTGTTCCTAGATTGGAAAGATCAACAGCTAGAGCTACAGGGGTCAGCGGGACTGGTAGTGACAGCACCTTCTCTAATGACCTGCGAGAGGGCACAGGTTTCAGGATGATCCAACCTGCTGAGGGCACATTGGTGTTTATGACATAGGGGAAGAACAGAAAGGCTCCCTGAAACCCAGTTGTAATCCAGGGAATAGACAAGTGACTGCAGAATCATCACGCAAGCATTGATGCACCTGAGAAGGCACCCTCCATGCTAGGGCCAGGCTGGGCATTGCTACCAATTCCACCTGCCCCGAGAAGCTCTGGACCTCACTGGGACAGTATATGGCAGCACCAGGGAAATGTGCATCTGTGGTTAGAGACAGCAAGAAGAACTGAGGTGGTTTTAAGGAAAGAATAACATAGAGAAAAGGCCAAATGCCTGGAGTAAGACCAGCCCCAATCAATTATGAGGTCCATGTCTGGCTGTGTTTCTGAATGGCTTTTGACCTGAATAAATCTGGGGAAATTTGAAAACAAACTCATGTCAGCAAAGTGCCTGGAGCGGTGAAAGTAGAGTTGCACACACAAGTCTCAACCTTTGTGAAAATATAATCTTACATGTGGCTCTGCCAACTTAACCATGCTGATAGATGCTGGAAAGATCACTGCTGCTAGCCTGAAGCATGCCAAGGAATGGCAGGCAGTCAGTTCAAATCCACAGGCTTTTATTAATTCAGGAAACATGCTAACACAAAGAAGTAAATAATTCCAATTCTCTACTCTAGGAAGTTCACAATATAGTTAGAAAAACAGTGACCTTAGGAATTAACTACCACACCATGGCCCAAGTTACCCCACCAGTGTGGACCATGTGTGCAATGGAGGGGGAGTAGTAGGCAGTGGGGAGTTTGCAGTGTCATTTCTTAAGCTATTTGGTCTTCGAGGTAAACTCGGGTCTTTGGGATATTTCACTATTTTAATAGTTTGAGAAGAGTATGATCATACATCCTGAAACATTCTTTTCCAACTTTTGTTGTCTTATTATATTCAAATTTTTCTTTTCAAGTTTTTTTTTTAACTTATTCGCCATACAAACATTTGAGAAGAAAAAAAAATTAAAAAACCCCTTAATTGCACTGACTATAAGAGTAATGTATTTGTACATTGGCTTTTAAATCTTTCAAAGTATGTTTTTGCATCTTAAGAAATGGAATCCTCGAAATAATCAAAATAATCGGCATGTTGCAGAAGGGAGATGCAACTGCTCACTTACGTGGATGAAGTTAGCTCAGTTCCATGGAGGGGCCAAGAGGGCCTATCTGGGCTATCATTCTGCCTCTGCTACTTATTGTGACTTTGGAATGTTAATCAACCTCTCCATGCCTCAGTTTCCCATCTGAAAAATGGGGACGCCAGATTATGGATAATGTAGAATTGCCATGTTTAGTCAGGGATGGTCACTAATCAACTTGGCCTCTGTCTGCACTTGAGACAATCAGAGAAAGACACAAGATGTTCAAGGCCAGGTAGCTTTTAGCTTTCTTTTTTTCTCTGTTTTCTATTTTGGCAAAAGTAACTGTTGGAAATTGAAAATTTGGCAGCTTTTGGGCAAATTGCCTTCCTATACATCTATATTCATGTTTATATACATTTTATGGCTTTTGAGGAGGAGAGCAGATAGTATCGGGAGTCTGGGCCACCTGTGGGGTGGTGTGGATGTGAAAGCCAGAAAGAAGAGCTGACATGTGCT